AATCTCAAATTTACCGACCACCTGACACCTCTGGGGAATGTAGGACATTTGTTCACCCTAATACTTGGGACTAAAGTGATTAAATAACTCTACAATAGAGAAAATGTTTAAAATTCAGTTCCCAGCAGCCAAGTCAGCCGCTAACTGTGTATTTGTGGAGCTAAGCATGTGCTAACAATGTGTTTAGTGGCAGTCTGTCAACAGATGGTTAGGTCTTTGTCTGTAGTCCAAATAAGGATTTATCAGTCAATAAAGATGTTGCAGCACTTGGCATTTTAATAAACTGCTTCAGTTAGTGGCCCTTTGTATTCTCTACAAGAAAATGATCAACTGCTGCAGAATTATGACAAACCAAGTTTATCCGTTTGAACATTGAAAATATCAGTTGTGACAATAGGTTGAAAAATATTTGCATAATCTGTTTTTATCTTACATAACATCCCAACATCATAGGAAGACTGGTTGTAAATAATGCACCGGTACTTAACTTTTTAAAAACAGAAATCTGGCTTTTAAAGGATCTCTGCTAAACAAACCATTATATCATTTTATAAAAAATGTTTTCCTTTATTTTCAAGCATGTGTGCAGAACCTTTTATGGGCCCTCACCTAATTGCTTCTTGGACTCTAATACACTGAGCTCTGCATACTTTAGTGACTTATTTATGTAGTTTTTGAAATCTCTCCTCAATAAAAACATATTTTTCCCATTATGAAATGACAATTTAGTCTTTTTTAATGTTCGACCATGCCAACCAACAGCAAACACATGGTTGTGAAACCTGGTGAGGGTGCGTTTGTTTTGAATCAATCATTTTTATGACAGGGAAGAAATTATGGATTTGTACGACCAGCCTCTGACATTTTACACTTTTAAGAGGTCATACAATGCAAACTCTGAGTCTTATGAAAAAGTAAAAAAAATCTCACTTTTCTTTCACCTTATATGGTTTGTCTGGTAAAAACTGAAGACAGAGTCTGCCAAACTGTTTCAGGTTTGGCTCAGAGGAGCCTGAAAAATGATTTAGCAAACAAAGATGACATGATAGCCGTAGGCTGGTAGGCCTTAGCTGAACACACAAGTCGGTTACTGTGAGTAAATATTTAATATATTATAAACATAGAAAAACATTTTTAATAAAGGTGATGGTGATAAATATATGTATAAGGTAGAGAAATATTGGTAAATCTGACAGAAAGAAAAGTGTTAGCAGCCAAAACAGGTAAAAAAAAAAGAAAAAACAGATTAAAAAAAAAAAAGAAGCTTTATTTCTTCTAACCAAGGTGAACATTGTTTCATAAAGCAACATCTGGTTGCTGTTTTAGATTAAGCTGTTAATATAAGACCAAAAACAAAGGGTGATGTTTTTGACACATTTTGATGCACAACAGGAAGTAGTTAGCTCTTTGATAGCGTCGGCTGCATTCCCTGAAGGTAATACATTCAAAAATACATTGAAGAAGTCCCAACTACTTTTAAATTTATCATGTGGTATCATTTCTGGTACCCAGACGTAAAAAGAAACAAATGGAAAAAAATTACAAACAGATTGTAAAACTGTAAGAATACTTTGCCGTGCTAACCGTTAGCCTCTAACCGTTAGCCGCTAACAGTTAGCTGCTAACGGCGCTAAGGCTGATCATTCCAAACTGAACAGGTTTTTATTCAAACAGTAGTTGGGATTTGTTTTCACCAAATACTTTTAAATGGTTTGTTTTGTGCCACTTTTGATGTGTATTCATTTCTGAGTTGTTTTTCTGGCAAATTATCAATTCAAGGTTTTTCCTAAATTTCACAGATTAATCTCTGTTTCAAAGTATTATGTTAGAAAATTACATTTCAAGCTGAGAAATTTCCATAATATCAAATTCTCAGGCTTTTTTCTAGCAGACTTTTTACCTTTTTTAGCTCAGAAATTTCAAAAATTAACCTCTAAAAGTTTTTTACTAGTAAATTTACACTCTTTTGGACACTTTTTCTGAGTTAAATATCAAAATTTTAGATTTTTTTCTAGCAAATTTTCAACTTTTCAAGTTCAGAAATTTCAATGTCTTTTCTAGAAAATTAAAAATTTCAGCAAATTTTCAGCTTTCCAAACTCAGAAATTTCCAATTTTTTTTCTAAAAAAAACTTTCATGATTTAAATTTATGGTCTTAATTTGTCATCTTTGGGGAGGTGAATGTCTGGGTTTCCTGTTGAACTTTGACCCTAACGGCCTCATTAGATAAAGATAAAAGATGGATGGATTATTCCAGATTTTTCTAATCTCTAAGCCACCAGTCTGTTGTCTCTCACTTGATATGAGTGACAACATGAAGTTGTTTCTCCTTCACTGTTAACTTCAGCATCGTTTGGAGACGTTAGTAGGACACGAAGAGGAAAATATCTCGTCTGAACTGTTAAAAACAGGGACAGTGTGATCCAGTGTAGGAACAATCTCGTCTGTTGTGTGTTTGCTTGCTGTTTTTTTTAATCGTTCTCTTTAATTGCAGTTTCCTGAAGTTAACCTCGGTTTATTAGTCCTGTCAGTGCATTCTTTACTAACCTGCTCTTTGTCGGACAAATCTTACAAATTGTTATGTTGGCGTATTTTTTGTCTCACGTTTAAATTGGTGACTCTTCTCCTCAGAAGGTCCGCTGAGGAGGCTGCTGTTACCTTGCTTTTGGATTAACGTTGTTCTAATTCACTAGAACAACAGCTACACCAGCACATTTGCCTTTTTTGGCCTCCAATTTCACCACAAACCACAGTTTACTATTAAATTCTTAATAAAGGTTGAGGTCAAAAACATCCAAGATTACAACCAGATTCACACCAAAGCAATTCGTGCAAAGGTAAATGGGTGCAGAGGTAAACTCAAAGTTTTATCTCATGAATCATCTCTGAACAATAGTAATCATTTATATATTTTACTGTCTTCAATTGACATTTAGCTGTAGTAACATATAAATACTTTAAAAATTACGTTTCCTGGGAAAATTTGGCAAACCTGTTTTCTCTGATTCACTGAAATATTTTTCCAATTACTTCAACATTTTTACCTACCTAAAAAAATTAAGACCTATAAAACATTAAATGTGGTGTAGTAAAACTTCTTCCTTGACATAAAAAACTAATAATCAAACATGATAAAAAAAACAAAAAAAAAAAACATGAAACCAAACACACAACAGCAGTGAGTCAAGCCCAAAGCCACAACCATTATCACGTGATGCAGTTGTTTTTGTCACTCTTCAGACTCGCGTTTAAACATCATATTTTATTAAGTTAATTTATAACTAACAACAAATTCATTTTAGAGAACAAACAATTGATTTATGTTAATTAAATTAAATCAACATAAATCAAACTTTTGTATAGCTGAATATATCTTCAGTTTAAGCCCAAATAATGGCACTTGAAATATCAGGACACAAAAAAAATCTTTATTTTAGATACATTTATTTGTATTTAACAGAAAAATAAAACATTTTCCGTTGAGTTTTTGCAGTTTTTGAGTCATGATCTACCGTATACAGAAATATCAACAAGTATGCATATACATTTATACTTTTAGCTAGTTAAAAGTACAATTAAAGACAAAAATGTACTCTAGTTAAAGTTACTGGAGTAAAAGTAAGTATTTCTTTTGAATGATACTTAAAATATTGAAGGTAAAAGTACTTGCTGAATCTATTCCCTAATGCAAAGGTCTATATCACTAATTGACACATATTTTATTCAATATATAATTAGTGTTGTGTCGTTTTAGTGAAGTATCCTGTAGATAACGTGTTTTTATTGTGTTTGTTACACAGTTTACACTTTTACATGAGAATTTGAGGGATGACCTGCAGATATATATTTTATGGTAATTAATTGTGTTTTATTACCTGCAATAAAAAAATTCTGCCCTTTTTCATATAAAATAGGTGCAGTAGTTTTATTTTGTTTGCTAATCTCCTGTCCAGCAACAAAGGGATAGTTTTTATTGACTGATATGAAACAGGTATATAATAATAAGTTTTTCTTAATGAAGTAAAGTTGCTTGTTTTGTGTTTTGTTTTTTAAGCCAATTTATACACTATAAAAACAAAATCCAATAATTTGTTATAGATTCTAATACAAATATGTTATTACACCTTTAATAAGACAAATCTAACTTAGAAGTAACTTTTTAGCAAGATATATTACCTTTACTAAGTCAATACCAATTAAAGTATTGACTTAGAACTAGTACTTTTTCAAAATATAAAGGAATTGTTGACTCATATCTTGCTGTAACGTTGCTTATGAGTTAGTTTTGTCTCATTTCAAGTGTGACATGACATTTCATTAGAAATAGACTGAAATGCTAGGTAAGATTCTGTTTTTGCAGTGAAGTAAAGCCAGTTCAACTAGTTTTCGATGTATTTTCACGGCTAATTTATCTGATGTACTTTACGTTTTAAAGTACCATGAGGTTCGTAAGTCAGGAAGGTAGATTTTGTTTCTGTGCTTACCTGACTCTAACAAGCACAAGTCTCTTTAGAAAAAACCCAGCAGGCTTCAATTAAATCGTAAACTCTCCTCTCTGCTGCTCTCCAGCTGATTTTCTCTCAGGGTGGTCAAATTAACTTTACTCTATCCTCACATTTAATAGCATTGCCGCAGAAAGCAAACCTGCAGAGTGTGAGCATGAAAAACAAACGTGGGATTGAACAACAATAGGTAGAGCCAGGAGGAGGGGGCTGCAAATATGGAACCACTTAAGATCCGAGCGCGCTCGCCCTGCAAAGGGTTAAAGATGGCGATGGGATAAGTGGAGCTCGTTTATCCCAAATTTGACAGTGGTAGTTAAATGTTGAGTTTTCCCTCCAAACTGGCAGTCTGGACGAGGCTTTTGCTCCCCTCAGCCTCTCTGGTGCTGTGCTCGTTTACGACCTCCTGTCTTCTCTAAATCAAATCCGAGAAACGGAGGACGGTTCTGCAAGATTATCTCCTCAGCTTCACCATCCATCCCACCATTCCTTCAGCTTTCTCCCAGCCGTTCACCTCTCCTCTCCTCTGCCCCCACCAACGCTCCGCTTCATCTTTCACTGTGGAGCTAAATTTCCCAACCTGCCGTCCCTGGAAACCCCACAGATGTCCGGAGCCTGGCGCTGAAGCGGGCGCTCGCCAGTAGCCCAGATGCATCTGCGACTCTTTGCCTTTGGGATGACCTTGCTTTGTGAGGTGATCAGGATGGGGTCGGGCGTCACGCAGAAGCGAAGCGGTGAGTAAACGTCCAAGATGACCAGAAAACTCCACCTGGCTTCCTAATTCATGAGTTGTTATGAAGGATGAAGTAGAATATGTAATATATGGCAAATGGACATGAAGGAAAACAGGGAACTTTACTTCATAAGGTAGCTGAAGTATTTTTGTCTAGTTTGTAGTTTAAATTGTCTTCTGTCACAATAACAAATGTTTCTGGACGATAAATTGTCCCGAAAGTCATTGTGATAATCGATAATAATGTTGTTTTCAAGTATTGCAAGAAGACATGATCAAAATCAATAAACTTTAAGCTCGAATTAACATTTAACACTGGAACTGGAAGACATTTTAAATATCCAAAATAAGCAGAAACAAATCAAATACATTATGAAATGTTTAAAAACAAAATTGTCCTTTAAAAAGGTTTTAGTTGAGGCCTATTTTAGTAAAAGAGACAAAAGAAAAACAATGAATTATGCAAATGGAAAATATTAACTGATTCTAATTTATCATGTGATTAATTGATTAATTACAACAGGCTGAGTTCAAATATCTCAGTCCACTTTAAACAAGATTAAACTGACTTACAAGCAACTTTTCAGCCAGAAAGAGGAGCTTATTCTAGTTTACTTGTAAAATGTTATAATTGAAACAAACCTGTGGTACTAGAACTTTTTATCAATATTAAGGGACTATTAACTTATAACAAGCTCCTATTTCCTGCTGAACTTGTGAAATAGTTTTGTCTTATTTGAATCGTAATAAGATATTTGCATTCGAAGGTAGACCAAAAAAAGTTGATTTGTGTTTATTCTTTACATTTACAAAACCCAAGGTCTCTTCACATCTATTTATAGCTAACTTGGAATAAAAATCTGAATTTATGCTATTTTTCCTTAAAAATGTTCAACCTGAGCTGTTGTTGAATGTGCAGCTGGCCTCTCCAACTCGTTTGTGAAGGTTTAGATTTGACTCCAATGATTCTGCTTTTTGAAATCGCTGCAGCCAGACAGGTATGTGGCGACGTTGCTGCTCACCAGTGACCTGCATTTCCTCAAGAATTTGGTAATAATGGAGGAGAATCCTGTCCCAATCACACAATCGGTCTACCTTAAAACGCCTCCGTAAAAACACAATTACCTCCATGATGTCATGCTAACTATTGTAAAATTTGACGATCTTTAAAAGTAAAAGCTGAAGGCACGTGAAGGAGTCTAAAGGCAAGCTGCATCCATCTATTCACCGCAAAAACTCAAAACCTTTAACTTGTGCTGCTGTGCAAATATCTTATTAAATGTAAAAAATAAAATAATACAAGCAACTTTCTAGCAACATATAGGAGTTTGTTTTAGTCGCTAATTTAAAATATTAATAGAAAAGAACAAGTTCCACTGGATTAGTTCACTTATAAGAAACATTTTTCCTTCTTACAAGTGAAATAATCTGCCAGTGGAACAAGTTCTTTTTAAAATCAATATTAAGAAATTATAGACTCTAAATAAGCTCCTGTATCTTCCTGTATCTTGTAAATTATATGTGTTCTATTTTAAGTGTGATAATACATTTGAACTTGAATCTAAACCAAAGATAATTGGCAGGTGTTGCAGCGTTGGTTTACGTTTCCCCTCTCCGTTATCTGTGCCTGATATTTTCTACTTTTTATCGTCTGCTCGAGTTGCCCATCTGGACCTGGCTCCTCTTTTTTTGCCTCTTAAAACAGAAACGGAGCAACAGAAGCAGCAGGAGTTTTTGTGTTTCAGTGTGAAAGCTGCGGTGCAGAGGTCAGAGGGCGCCGAGCCCATTATTCTGTCCATCAGGGCTGGCTTTCTGTTGCTATGGTTACTCTAGGTAATTGCGAGCATCTGTGGTTGTTTTTTAAAGGAGAAACACCGAGAAAAATAACTGAGACGAGACAAGTGTTTCCAGTGGGCTGCTTTAACTTCCACTCTGCAAGACATTAAAAAAACATTTACTTTTTTTTCCTAGTAGTTTCTGTGAGATGTTACTGTTTCCCAACATCAATGAACTGGTTAACTGGACAAACATTACTGCTGTTTCTGCCAGCCAAAATTTATACATTTTTGTGTATATACACACACATACACAAATTTTGTGTGTGTAAATATATACATACATAAATAAATACATACATATATGTAGGCTGTGAGAAACAGCAACAATGTCTGTCCACTATTTTTTTTCTAATTTTTTGCTCATTACAAGAAAAAATATTTTTCATATATGTATATTTATGAAATCATGTCCAGAGATGGGTAGTAAAAAGTTACATTTACTTGAGTAACATTTTGGTAACATTTTATCTTTACAAGTGTTTTTAAAATATTAAATATCTTAGGTTTAAAGTAGTAAATGTATGCTGTTAATTTGGGAAAAGTCAAATCTTTCTTTGAAAATGTTTGACTTTTTGACATTTTCTTCTTGTAAATATGTGAAATTATTCTCCATATTTTTTTGGGCAAAAATTTAGTCCCTGGTGGCTAATTTTTATTTTCTGGCCCTAAATATTCAATTGTTAAACTTCATATTCATTTTGAAAATAAAGGGTGTCTTTTAATTACAATTTTTTTAGCTGTTGATTAGATCAAAAAAAATATATAATAAAACGAATGAACTTTAAAACAAAGTTGATGAAAAAGTTTGATTTATTTGGAAGGAAATCAGAAAGACGGTATCATAAATACTATTTTTTTCAAATATAATAAAATGATCAGAGATGTGTGTTCACTTCCAAAAGTTAATTTACATAAAAAACTGATTATTTTTCAAGGAAAAAAGATCAATACAATTATTGACCAATATGATGATGGAATACGCTGTTTGCAATGAATTTGATATTTTGAGCTCGAACAGTTTTAATATTTACGTACGGAACTTAATGCGCAATGCAACGTTCTGCAGGGAAACATTATAAAGTGACACCAAAACCCGCTCATTCATAAATTTGATATTTGGGGACATTAAAGTCCTTTGTGCTGCAACAGTGGAGAAAGAAGGCGAACCGAACCAGAATGTCACTGCATAACTCACCTGAAACAACGTCAAGTTGAACGTAAGGATGACAGGAACTGAAGACAATCAGCGGTCGGTCATTAGCCTACCGGGCTAGCGTAGTGCCTGGTCAACCGGAACTCCGTGTTGTGCATGCTGCATTCAGGTACAACTCGGACACTTTGCTGTCAAAATACCAAAACACTCTTTCGTAATTATTCTTCTAAATTTCAAAACGTTAACACTCAACGTTGATTTTTGTACACTGTTTGCTTTATTCTACTTTCACTGAAAAAAATTAAACCAAATCAACAATTAGAACATGATAAAATCACTTCATCAGCACATTTTTTGTCTAAGTTTCCAGTACAATTATCTTAATTAACTTGAATCAAGAGAAAACTAACCAGAAGCTTTTCAGGTTTTTAAGTCATGGTTAATATTGATGAAAAAGTACTTCGTTATTTAAGTTTCAGCGAGACATTAATTCCCATGTTTAAAGTAAAAAAAAAAAGAAACAAAAACGTGGCATTTGAAACAAGTACTACTTTTTGACTAGTTTATGAAATTATTGACTTTATATCTTGATGGAAAAATTTGTTGTTTTATTTCAAGCGTACTCAGATATTGATACTAAATGAAAGAAAAAACACATGTAAATATTAAAATATTAACTCTAACCTGGTTAAATACCTTTAAATTAATGAAAACAGTCTAAGCTGTTCTCCTGAGGTAATCAAACTCATTTTGAAAAAGCCTTTAATGCCACCCACAGGAATTTCTAATTTCTTTCCACTCTGACATTACGCTTGCTCCTGAAAGCAGCAAACTGCTAAAACTCACATTTATTGATAATTATTGTTAAATCGGCTGCATTTAATCAGCAGCTGCTGGCTCCTTTTTTCCCTTGTTAATCCCATCAGTTTTTCCATGTGAGCACGAGTCTTTACTGGCCTTTCAACTAAATTAATTCCTAAAACACAATTTAAAAATCTGCACCTGAACGGGTAAAAAATAGTTTTCAGTAAGGAAGCATTCCTAACCCGACTGGCATTAATTGCCTGCAGTTGCAGAAAGGCTATTAAGACACACACAGTGAGTATTTATTTTAACACGGCAAGGCAGCTGGCACCTTTTTCTTGTTAATACACGCATCCTGATGCATTGTGGGAATTCTACTCTAACAACTGCTGATTGATGTCACAGACAGTCTGACCTGAAAATAAATTAACACTTTTAGCAGCGTGACAGAGGAGGGTGAACCCATCAAAACTCTCATTAAGTAAACTGTTTGCAATCTGTGAAATATTTGGTTGTGGTGCTCCAGTGAATTCAGTTTCAGGTTAAAATTCCTTCCTGTTTTTCCCGAAACACTGACTGAGCTTGTTACACATGGAGCTTGTTAAAATAAAACACACGTACTCAAGAAAAAACAAAATCCCAGGGTAATCCCATGCAAGTTCAGAGGTCACGATTTTATGCTACCTAAACCTGCAGCTCCTCTGAAAGTCTGTTAAGTCTGCAGATCCGCAGCACATGTGTGCGGAGCGGCATTTTAGATGGCTGGGTTGAGACCTCAGCGGTTGTTCTGGGGGAAATCCGCCCGAACTCTGAACTTCTTCAACAGATTCGTCATCTTTTTGAGCCCAGATTATTTAAACACGATGACTAACCCAGAGTATCCTAAAGTAATTACAGATCTGCATGAAACTTTGAGTCGTTTCCAAATAGTTTGGAGCATTTGCTGTTTCTCAGTCATTTGCCATCCTTCTTAGTCAAAACTGAAAAGAAAAAAAAAACGAACCTAAATTTTTATCTTCAGTTATATTGTGGCAAGCCCTCTATTAGAAATATATCGCTTCTGTCTGATTTTCTTAACCAATAAAATCCAGAGGATCAATTTTACGGCACACAAAGATGTAGTTCCCCAAGGATTTGTTTGCTGTATTTTGTTTTCAGTTTCTTTGTCTTAAAATGGTTAGTTCTCTTCTAAATTGCTTTGTACAT